ACACCACCACCCCCTGCCAAGTCCTGCCCACAGCCCCCAGCAGAGCCCTGAGCCCAAGCAGCCAGCCCTGGCTCTGCCCTTCACAGGTCCCTGCCAGGACTCCCCTCCGCTCCCTTCCCTCTGCCACTGTCCCCCCAGGCCACGCAAGCTCTCTGCCACTGCGGGCACCCGGCAGCCTCCCCACCGCTCCCCAGCTCAAGCTGGGCTGTGCTCTGGGCCAGGAACACGGACAAACAGCCCCAGCCTCTCTTCTTTTCTTTGGCAAAACATCCAAGTGAAAGATCAGGGCATGCCCAGGGAGCATCAGCATGTGCAGCCCTAACATCCCTGCGGACAGGAGTGGGGATCTGCTCCTGCACCAAGGCAATCCTGGAGTATTTCCAAATGCCAGTGTTGGGAAAGAAATCCTTAGCCAGTGGGTAAACAAAAGCAGTTATTTCGCCTCTGGGAGCCTCAGCCCTCCTGCCCCGTGTCTCCACGCAGCACGTGTTCTCCTTTGCAGAGCCCCGGCTGGGTGCAGGATCTGGGCAGGTTCTGCTGCCCGGAGCAGCCACCGACCAGCAGCAAAGGGGCCAGCACAGCCCCTGGGGGGGGGCATCTAATCCATCCCATCCCACGGGGAACCCCCTGAGGAGTCTGAACCCCACTCACCTGCAGCGCCCAAGCAAATCTAGCCTGCGAGAAAGAGCCAGGACTTGCCATCCCTCGCGAGGGGGGGGTGGGTGACCATACGACCTGGCTCCTCTGTCCCTCCTCTGCCCCCCCCTGGGGATGTGCAGGGCTCTGGGGCCCACCCTGTCATCACCGGACCCTGCTGCCAGCCCCACCACGGCCAGGCTGCTCAGCATGGGACGCTGCACCTGCAGCCAACTCTCCCCCCGAGCACGCAGGCGAGGGGTCAGGGTGCACCCCAAAACCGCCGGGGGATTTCCCTCTCCTCTGCAGCTGCAGGCTGCGAAGCCTCCTCTGTCCCCCGGAGCATCCTTCTCCTGCCTCACCCGCTGCTCACTCGCACTGTCCCCGTGTCCCCCGGCCACACGCAGCACTGGGTGCACTGGGCGCTGGCAGTGCACACACGTATCGTTTTACTGGTTTTACCCACGCGACAGAGCACCCGGGGACCGGCTAACGGGGCTCTCCTGAAGCCTCTCAGCTCCGAGCACCTTCCTGAAGCACTGTTTTTCCCGTCCGATAGTGAATATTAAATCATCAAATTACAGCAAACAGTGAGTCAACCCCTGTCACTCTGCCCTTCCCTGGAAGGGTTCGTATGAACCTTGGCGTTTGTGCAGGGCCAGGCAAATCCCATTTTACATTTTTCCACAGAAGAAACAGGTCATCTGGAAATAAGAGTTTGGCAAGTAGTAGAACGGACAACATCAGAAATACTCAAGGTAGGAGTCCTGCAGGCGGGACTGAGCCCTCGCTAAGCTCTCCCTGGAGCAGGGATTTTAACCCTGCGGATCCCGGAGCTGCCCGGCAGCACGGCCGTGTGCCAGCCCGGCTTCCCCGTGGGGCCCTGTCCCGGGCTGCCCGGCTCGCCCACGGGTCAGCAGCGCCTGCTCCATGCAGAAGTGTCACCCCAACACACACACACAAGTCCCAAACAAAAAAGACATAAACCCCCCCCCCCCAAGCAGCCCTGGGTGTAACCATGGCCCCGGGGTGCCCCTCGGCCCGGGAGACCTTACAGCAGCATCCTGGACAGACCCTGGGAGCGGCTTCAGAGCTGAGGATACAGAAATTAAAAACACTCACCACTGAAGGAATACTAATTCTGCAGCAACAGGTTTGAAAGTTACAGTAACGTACATGCTCTGAACATCGACTGTGGTCTGCAGAGGATGGCGAGACGTCTTCTGAAACGTGCACCGGAGCTACGAGAACCCTCACCAGAAAGGAGCCCGCGCGCGGCTTCCCCGGGCTTCGTCTGATGCAGGGTGTCTCATACGCCCTCTCGTCAATCTGGCACAATTTGCAGTTTTTTTCTGGGTTTGGTTTGGTTTCCTCCAGCCCAGGTCAGGACCCGAGGCCACGGCCTCACAGCTCGCACCCCCAGCACGCACAGGGCGCTGCCGGCAATTTAACGACGGGGCGAGGACACCCGGCCGGCCGCTCCCTGCCAGGCAGGACAGCAGCCTTAGCTTCTAGCAGCAGTTTTTCCTCAATGAATCATTAAAAGAAGAAGAAAATAATTTCAAAAGGTAGAGTTTGATGTTTATAAAAGGTCTACAAACCATAATTTCCTTTATAGGATTCCTTGTGATTCATAAAATTCCACCCCCATTTTCCCCTATAGGCATGGAGTAATGTGTATTTACATTAGAATTAGTAGTGGTTTAGAAAATATACATATGGGTTTGAATTTTTTTTTTTTTTTTTTTTTTTGCAAACCAACTGAACTGGTGTGTAATAAGAGAGGGCTGACAGCCAGCGACTCAAAGGATTCTCAAACCCAGGGCTCACCCTGCTGCGAACCCAACAGTGAGTGAGCTGCTGGCTGGCCGCCGACGGGCAGCTCCTGCCTGTCCTTGCCTGATGTCCCTGCCTGTTCCTGCCTGTTCCTGCCCGTCCCTGCCTGTTCCTGCCCATTCCTGCCTGTCCCTGCCCATCCCTGCCCGTCCCTGCCTGTTCCTGCCCATCCCTGCCCGTCCCTGCCTGTTCCTGCCCATCCCTGCCTGTTCCTGCCCATCCCTGACTGTTCCTGCCTGTTCCTGCCTGTTCCTGCCCATCCCTGCCTGTCCTTGCCCGTCCCTGCCCATACCTGCCTGTTCCTGCCCATCCCTACCTGTTCCTGCCTCTCCCTGCCCGTCCCTGCCTGTTCCTGCCTGTCCCTGCCCATCCCTGCCTGTTCCTGCCCATCACTGCCCGTCCCTGCCTGTCCCTGCCCATCCCTGCCTGTTCCTGCCCATCACTGCCCGTCCCTGCCTGTTCCTGCCTGTCCCTGCCCATCCCTGCCTGTTCCTGCCCATCACTGCCCGTCCCTGCCTGTCCCTGCCTGTTCCTGCCCATCCCTGCCTGCTCCTGCCTCTCCCTGCCCGCTCCTGCCTCTCCCTGCCCATCCCTGCCTGTTCCTGCCTGTTCCTGCCCATACCTGCCTGTTCCTGCCTCTCCCTGCCCATCCCTGCCCGTCCCTGCCTGTTCCTGCCCGTCCCTGCCCATCCCTGCTTATCCCTGCCTGTCCCTGCCTGTCCCTGCCTGTTCCTGCCCGTCCCTGCCCATCCCTGCCTGTTCCTGCCCATCCCTGCCTGTCCCTGCCCATCCCTGCCTGTCCCTGCCTGTCCCTGCCTGTCCCTGCCCGTCCCTGCCCGTCCCTGCCCGTCCCTGCCGCTGCCCGCACGGCGCGGCTCTGCCTTACAACCAGCTGCCGGAATTGTCTCTTCTGATTCAGTAATTTTTAAATGATGCAGAAGGCCCTGGATTACTGAATAAAACCCCCAGGAATTTTGGCTGAAGTCAGGTAAATCAAGATGTCTGTAAAATTCATGGGTTGTGAGCCTTTAAGATAATAGCAGAGGGTGTAAAGTAGAAAAGTTACCTTTATAAATAGCCCTCGGTACAGCCCTTTTGTAGCGGGCATATTTTCAGTTGGTAAATTGTAAACTGAGAATATAAATCTGTTTTGTTTTGGTAGAATATTAATATCCTTTACAGAGCTGTTAAATTTTGACAGTGTCTGTGAAAAAACAGGAGAAAGATTTATGAGAGTGCTGACAGAGTGTATCAAAACTGCAAACTGTTCCAGATGTTAAAAAAAAAAAATCCCACCTTTCACTTAGAAAAAGATTTGCTCTGATTTACAAGAACTGGCATGGAATTCGTTTGGAGTCTTAATGCCTGAGTGTAGGAAAGGCCGTATGGCGAGGCGCAGGCTTGCGGGAGGCGAGGGAGGAAGACGGCTTCGGTGAGCCAGGCTGACGGTATATACAATGCATTTAAAAATATATGTCTATAAGCAGACTTTTCCACACTGATCAAATGTATCCATGTCTTGAACAAAAGGCTCCTCTAAGACAAGCTCACAGTCATCGCAAGCTTCAGCACAACGGTTTAAGATATCAACCATGCTTAGCATTCAACAGAAACGATTTGTGAGTAGCTAGGGTCACTGGAATCTCAGCATCCGATTTCAAAAATTACAAAGACTGTAGCAATTTGGTATATTTCTGTTCAAAAACTCTATTAGTCACCACCAACTATAGTTCCTAGAAGTATTACTGACTGTTAACTCGAACCCCAAACATCTCCAGCTAGGGAAACCAAGCTAGCAAGTGACACAGACATGGAAAGGCCTCCTAAACCAAGCGGTCGGCGTGTTTCGCGTGAGGGTATGTATGTCTGCACTGCTAATCCCGGAAGACTAGTGTCGGTATGTACAAGGCGATCTGGAGTTTCGGACTGCGAGGAGAGGGCGGGCGGCGGCGGCGCCGCGACTACACGTTAATGACAAACTCGGGGTTAGTGTAGGAGAATCCAGCAAACTCGTTCTGGTCCAAGTTCATGATGAAGAGTTTGTCCGTGGGCGTGAGCTCCACCGGCTGCCGGGTGAACTCTTTGTCGAAGTTGGAAGTGTCTCGTTTGTCCTTCTGTTAAACGGAAAGCAGAGAGTTAAACGGGGGGAAAGGGGGGAGCGCGAGCGAGGGACTGGCGCACGGCTGGGAGAACCGAGCTGTCCCCAGGGGAGCCGAGCTGTCCCCACGAGAGCCGAGCTGTCCCCAACAGAGCTGAGCTGTCCCCAAGAGAGCCGAGCTGTCCCCAAGAGAGCTGAGCTGTCCCCAGGGGAGCCGAGCTGCCCCCAAGAGAGCCAAGCTGTCCCCAACAGAGCCGAGCTGTCCCCAAGAGAGCTGAACTGTCCCCAAGAGAGCCGAGCTGTCCCCAACAGAGCTGAGCTGTCCCCAAGAGAGCCGAGCTGCCCCCAAAAGAGCTGAGCTGCCCCCAAGAGAGCCAAGCTGTCCCCAAGAGAGCCGAGCTGCCCTCAAAAGAGCTGAGCTGCCCCCAAGAGAGCTGAGCTGTCCCCAACAGAGCCGAGCTGTCCCCAAGAGAGCCAAGCTGTCCCCAAGAGAGCTGAACTGTCCCCAAGAGAGCCGAGCTGTCCCCAACAGAGCCGAGCTGTCCCCAAGAGAGCCGAACTGTCCCCAAGAGAGCTGAGCTGTCCCCAAGAGAGCCGAGCTGTCCCCAAGAGAGCCGAGCTGTCCCCAAGAGAGCCAAGCTGTCCCCACGAGAGCCGAGCTGTCCCCAAGAGAGCCGAGCTGTTCCCAACAGAGCTGAGCTGTCCCCAAGAGAGCCGAGCTGCCCCCAAGAGAGCCGAGCTGTCCCCAACAGAGCCGAGCTGTCCCCAAGAGAGCCGAGCTGTCCCCAACAGAGCCGAGCTGTCCCCAAGAGAGCCGAGCTGCCCCCAAGAGAGCCGAGCTGTCCCCAAGAGAGCTGAGCTGTCCCCGGGCCTCACGCCCGGCACTCGAGGTCTCCACACCAGTTTCCAAAGTGGCCGCCAGTGAGGGGCACACCCCCCGCCAGGCAGCGGCAGCCCCTGTACAACAGAAGCAACCCCACACCGCAGGGAAGAACAGAAAAACACCAGTTTAACGCCTTAAAACACACAACGAGATCATAAAGGGAGATGATGAGAGCAGGGGGCGTCGGGGAGGGCTGCGGTGCTCCCAGGCTGAGCATCCCTCCTCTCCTGGCCGCTGCAAGAAAGAGCAACAGAGCAGATCCTCAGCATGCAAAACCATCACTGCAAACACAAGAGTCGCAATACACAGGAGGAAGGAGCCTGGAGGAAGTAACGTGCCTCAAAATGGAAGGAAGCGTTCCATACAATTTCAAAATTTGCACAAAATTATCAGCTGCAAGAGCTCCTTTTGCTTTAAGCTTGGTTTGGTTTTTTTTTGTTTTTTTTTTTTTTTTTTTTTTTGTTTTTTGTTTTTTAAATTATGCTATGATATGGTATTGACCAAGGCAGTGTTTTATTGATTTGAGGATTTGATTTGCTCCAGGGTTGATATATAGAAAATACACAGCAGTTCAAAACCTCAAAGAATGAAAATTCCACATACGCAACCTTTTATCATTTTAATTTCGTAAGAAGAATGACTTTGCGGCTACATCCAACCCAAAAAAGAAAAAAAAAAAAAAAGTTAGTCATGATTAGCGCTGGTAACCTGCTCTTGGCACCGCAGAGCTCATCGGTCGGGATCGTTTGGGCCATTTTTATAAATGGGTGTGCAGCAGAGATTGCCCAGTTTCTGGCTGCGGGAGGTTCCGGGGCCTCGGCTGGCTGGGAAGTGGAGCGCTGGAGATACCACACGAGCAGCCAGGAGCCTTCACCAGCACAGCCAGCCCGTGCAGGGACATCCCGCTCCCCGCAGAGGCGTCACCAGCCGGGACCCCGCTCTGCTTCATCGCATCACGGACGAGGCAGGGACAGGGGACATTCCCCGGCTCTTCTCCCGAGGCTGCAGGGGGCCGGGACGCTGCCGGGGGGTGACGGTGGGTGTCTCCCCGCGTCGCCCCGTGCCCGGCCCAGCCTCACCCGAGGGCACGGCACCTTCCACCGCTTCTCCATCCCCACCGGCAGGCGCAGCCACCCCTCTGCCCGGGCTCCGTGCTGGGGGTGACCCTCCCCTGGCGTCACAGCGGCAGGACCCTCTCGCAAATTTGGTGCCTTGCAGAAATCTGCAAAACGTTGGGGCTTTCTGTGGTTTGTTTTGTTTTCTTTTCCCAGATTCTGTCTTTGAACCGAGGCCCTCGCACCGCCAGGAGCTCGACTGCAGATTTCATGGGGACGCCGGGGCAGAGCCATTGGCACCTTCCTGCCTCAAGCAGGAGCACGGCCAGGACGCGGCCGAGAGCTGGGGCCTCCCTGTCCCCCTCCTGCCAGCCCGGCACACCAGAGCCGCAGCCCAGCCCAGCCTCTGGAGACGAGCACCGGTGGCACCAGTGGTCCAGGACCCCCACGGCCACTCAGAGACTGCATGCCACGGGAGACATCCCATCAGGACAGCTTCAGCCTCGTTGGGAGGAAGAGGAGAGAGCGAAGAGAGCCAAAGGCGGCTGAGAGGAGACGAGGTGGGAAGAAAAACGGGGCTGGAGCTCAAGGAACAAAGAGAAAAGCCAGAAGAGCCAGGATGTGGCCGTGCCGTCGAGCCAGCGAGGATTCCAACGTGCAGCGGTGCTCAGGGCACTGGCGGCCGCAGGTCCCAGCCTGTCCCTGAGCACCAGCCGGGTCTCTGCCTTCACTTTCGGACAAGTGACACTCGGGAGCCGGCACCGTCCCTGCAGGGCTGCGCTCCCCAGCACAGAGAGGAAGAAGAGGCAGATTTGGGGGGGGCACGGAGCGGGGGAAAGGCAGATGGGGTGAAGGAGCCGAGTTCAGGTGCAGAGTTCTGCCAGGCAAAGGGCGAAGCGGTTGAAATGCGAGTGTAAGCCCACCTCGATGGAAGGCAGCATCCTCCCTCGGACGAGAGGGGCCGGCGTGGAGCAGCGGCACTGCCCGTCGCGGCGAAGAGGCCGTTTCGAAGCGGCTGCACGGGGTGTGGGGGGGGGCGTTTCTCTCTTGCAGCCCCAGCACGTGCAGGAGGAAGGAGCTGACGGTGGCACCAGGTTCCTGCCCCGCTCCCGGAGGGATGCTGAGCCGACCAGGTGGTTCCCAAAGGCCACATCCACCCGAACCAACGTGTGCCGAGACAACATCGTCCCAGCAAGCCAGGAGCCCCTCCCGAGCGGGAATGCTGTGGGATGCTGCAAAGGGGAATGAAACGTCCGTATCTGCCGCTGGTGGGAACTGCCACCGCGGTCCCCAGCCCTTCGCAGTGGCCTCTGCTGAGGGCACCAGAGAGGGCGAGCGCAACCTCCTGCTGCTTTTCGGCAGCAGAAAGCCCTGGCAAAGGCTGTGACGTGCCTGGGAAGGGGCTCAGGGCAGCCCACCTCCCCCCGCACGGCTCCCCCTCCTCCAGGGGCTCGGCGTCACGGGGAGGCCCTCGCTCTGAGCGCAGCAAAGCGGGGTCTGCTGATTTCTTACCTTGAATTTTTTCTGAAATTGGTGGCAATTTGGCCTCTGTCAAAGATGACGAATAGCCTGGGAGCAGGTAGGGAACGGCTACGTGGATCTGGTAAACAGAGAGAGGGGAAGGGCGGGGGAAATTCAAGGCTGAAAATCCCTCCAGCCAAGGGCTCACTGACTCTGGGAGGTGATGAGGAGCACCGGAGGGATGGTGTGGCAGAGGCACCCCGGGCTCTCGACCGGCCGGGGCAGCGTGCCCGCAGGGCACATCTGGCCCAGAACAGCGTTTGTGCCTGGAGCGCGGGGGCCAGGAACCCCCCCGGCCACTGCCCCCCAGCCCCCTCCCCACGGCAGAGCTCCGCTCCGGGGCTGCACGGGCGCAGGAAGCCGGGGAGCAGCTCCTGCCGGCGCTGCCCGTCGGGGCCTTTCAGAACGATCCTGCAGGGTTCAGAACTGCAGCGATTCAGCAGAAGTGGGTTTCCAAAGACAGAAGGGAAATTCTGCGTGCACTCAGGAGGGAGGTTAACAGGAACCTGTAATCCCTCTTTAGCTGAAACTGCCAATTGCTTTTAACAACTGCTCCTCAGAGAGGGCGATGAGTCACCGACACACGGCACTGCCTCGCCGAGAGCCTTGCCTCTGCAGTCCCCAGCAATCTGAAGCGCATACCGCAGTCGTCTCTGATCGAGGCATTCAAAGAGATCCCCAAGCGGCAGAGCTCCGCTCACCTCAGCAGCGCCGTCCCGACGCCTCAAATCATCCTTCCTCCGAGGGACGCCGGCGAGAAACTCCTTTCCCATCCACGTTTGAGCGAGCGGGGCCCCGGCTGCGCAGCGCGGCTGGGGCAGAGGACGTGCAGGCATCTGCTCTCGGCGTCCCGCGCGTCGCACCTCGCTCCGGGGCCAAACGCTGCAGCGGAGAACGGGCCGGGGCTCCGCCGGCGGCGCAGGAGGCTGCGCTGGGATGTGGGCTGCTGCCTGCACTGCTGCCTGCACTGATGCTGCCTGCACTGCTGCCTGCACTGCTGCTGCCTGCACTGCTGCCTGCACTGCTGCCTGCACTGCTGCTGCCTGCACGGCTGCTGCCTGCACGGCTGCTGCCTGCACTGCTGCTGCCTGCACTGCTGCCTGCACTGCTGCTGACTGCACTGCTGCCTGCATTCCTGCCTGCACTGCTGCCTGCACTGCTGCCTGCACTGCTGCCTGCACTGCTGCCTGCACTGCTGCTGCCTGCACTGCTGCCTGCACGGCTGCTGCCTGCACGGCTGCTGCCTGCACGGCTGCTGCCTGCACTGCTGCCTGCACGGCTGCTGCCTGCACTGCTGCCTGCACTGCTGCTGCCTGCACTGCTGCTGCCTGCACTGCTGCCTGCACTGCTGCTGCCTGCACTGCTGCCTGCATTCCTGCCTGCACTGCTGCCTGCACTGCTGCCTGCACTGCTGCTGCCTGCACTGCTGCTGCCTGCATGGCTGCCGCCTGCACTGCTGCCTGCACTGCTGCCTGCACGGCTGCTGCCTGCACTGCTGCCTGCACTCCTGTCTGCATTCCTGCCTGTGCTGCTGCTGCTGCCTGCACTGCTGCCTCTCCTCCTGCCTGCACTCCTGCCTGCACTCCTGCCTGCACTGCTGCCTGCGCTGCTGCCTGCGCTGCTCCCCCACAGCCCTGGGGTCCCGCCATGCCCCGAGCCGGCCCCCCCTGAGCAGCCGGGGCGGCTCTCAGCCCGGGGCGCTCCTGGCATCTCTGAGCCCAGAACTGCAGAAACTCATTATTGCCAAACAAATGCAGGTTTCTTTGACATTATTTCTCACTTTTTATTTCATAATCAGTATTGGAAAAAAAAAAAAATGGCACGTTACAACTTAAAGCAGATTGATACAGTGACAGCCCACGAACATCTGCAGATTAGTATAAAAGGAAGCTGCATGACTGTTATTGTTTCAAGAGAAATTCATCCTTCCTGAAACCTTTCCTTTGATGCCAGAAACCAAACTTAGGTCATTTAAATATCTAGCGGCATTTTTTAAAAGTAGGACTATTAGTTGAAACAAGTTTCTTTACAAGCTTCGTATCCGAATTCACAATACTGTTCAAAGTTAAATAGCATCCCATTTGTGTTAATACCATTTTTTGACACATTTAAAGCGCAGGTAACAAACTCAATCGATTACTTTGGCATTTGAAAAAAAAAAAAAAAAGAAGTTTTACTACGAGAACTGATGTTGTGTGGTATTTACTAGGGTGACCATGGATTCGAAAGCATCTGCAACAGCTCTTTCCAATTTCCCGTTTGCAACTGGCTATGGTTCTTTTCATCTTAAAAACGCACAATCAGGAGAAATCTTTGCAAACAGCAGACCCGGCTTGCCTAACGCCTCATCGGCGCTGCTGGAGCCGCATGCAGGAGCCTACGGCGGCACGGGCCCGGCGAGGGCCGAGGGCTCCGGCGAGGGGCCCCGCGGTGGCTTTGCTGCACGCAGCAGGACAGAGCTACAAAAGCAGCCAGAGTCGGCACTTCAGCTCCCCGGAGCGACCGCTCGGCTTTGGGAGGAGCTGAGGGGCTCAGCCGGCAGCACCCGCACTGCGGGCGGCTGTTCACACCAGGAAAGGATTTGTTAAAAACACTGGTCACTAAGGCTAAGAAGGCTCAGTAGTGAATTTTCATTGTTATATTAAAAGACTGGAAAAAGGGAAGAGCGGGAATCAAAGCAAATGCCGAAGAGATTTCTCCTAATTGTCACAGCTTACACCTCTCCATTTTACCTCCAATGAACCGTTTTCATTTTCTACAAATCAAATGTCATAAAAGCATATTTGCAGTGCTCACGGCACATCACCCGCCCTTCAGGCACGCCCCAAATCATGTGAAGACACTTCTGGCTTTGAAATATGGTCACTCTAGTAGTAGTAGTACTAAAGAAAAGCCATGAATGCAAGTTTTGCAATGGAAAATGTCACCACAACAGCAGTTGGGACCGGATGATAGAGAGGCAGGAATGAGATCTACACAGCTACTTAGCTCTTGGCTTCAGGCTTAAAAAACTCAGAGTTAACAAAGGAAAATCCTTCGAATTCTGACTGGTCAATGTTCCTGATGACTTCCTGGTCAGGAGGTGTTAAGACGGGTGGATGGCGAGTGAAAAACCGGTCGAAGTTTTCAGCATTGCGTCCACACTATGAGAGGGGGAGAAAAGAACGTACGGTGGGTGGAGAAAGCAGCGTGGGGGCCGCGGCGGCAGCCACCCGCCCAGCCTCAGCGTGCCGCTTAGCTCGGTGCAGCAACGGCAGGAAAGAAAAAGGCGCAAGGTGTGTATGAGCTTTGTTAGTCGCAAGGCGATGCTACCTCATGGCACGGAGACCGGCAAACACCCCCCCCCCCCCCCCCGGCCGTGCCATGGCAAGTAATCGCAGGAGAGCGATGAGATGGGAGTGCAATTACTTGCTGTCGCTCCCTGCCCACACGCAGCACTGTGCCTTCTCGCAGGCTGCGCCACGCGCGGGGCAGCTTCTTCCGAGAGCGGTTTCGCCTGCTCGGTCAGCCCTCTCTTCCCGGGAGCAGGACGTTTTCGTCAGGCCCGGGCTGCTCAGCGGCTTCTCCTCGCCCCCGCTCACGGAGAGAGCTCCTCGCCTTCCGCCGGGCTCCCGGCAGCCGCCGCCGGCCCAAGGCTCAGTGCAGGCACCGGTGCCTGGGAACAGCCGGGGCTGCCCCGTCCCTCCCCGCCGCGCCCGTCGGTCCCGGCCGCTGCACGGGGTGCTGCTCGGCCGAGGCAGGTGGGAGCTGGGGCGCCGGGGGTGCTCCCGGCCACCAGCTGTTGGAGAATGGCTCAGAGACAAGGGTCCTGAGCCCACCGAGCAATTGTATGATCAGAGCCTGCTCCAGCTGCTGATGCTGGGCCTCACCAGGGTTTGCCTGCAGCTGCTCGCAGCTGCTGATACAGGAGGAATGTCAAGGACGCTTCAGCCCTGTGTACCGTGGTGTGTCGAAAACAGGTTAAGGGGAATTAGGAATAGGGGTCTGAGAAACCCAGTGTTATGGTACCGGTGGTCTGAGAAACATTGTGTTACGGTACTGTCGTGTATCGAAAACAAGTCAACAGGAATCAGAAATAGTAGCATGAGAAACTTAGTGTTATGAGAAGCTTGTGCTGTAAGCTAACTGCAAGTAGGTGGACCGTGCGAATACGACCTTTAGAGCTTAAGCCAATCAGCTAGTGACTAGTAGGCATAATAATTATCATTGTCTGGATAAATATATGTACCCTGGACCAATAAACACACACGTTGATTGATGCTCTATCACCCACACTGAACCCGTCTCGGCGTGTCGCTCGTCCGCAGCTCCGCAACCAGCCTCCTGCTTGCGCGGCAGCCGGGCGATCCGCACGGCGTCCCCCGGAGCGCTCGGCTGCGGCCGGGCAAGGCTGCCTATCCCGAAAAACCCTGCTCACAGCGGCGTTTTTCTCGCTTGCCCCCCAAGGCAGGCAACGACAAGCCCTACGTCAGGCGGGGCAGGAGGCCACGAGCACCGGCGAGCTCTCTGCAGCCGGCAAAGCCAGAGGAGAGAGGAGACCAAAAGCTCTGGGGTCTGGTCGGGGCACCACCCTGGCTGGCACGGCAGGAAAACACGGGGCCTGGAGAGCCCCCGGGAGCCCCCGAGGAGCCGGAGCCCCGGGCGGCATCCGAGGACCCGGCCGGCTGCAGGCTCCGCAGAGAAAGGCGGGGTTGGGCGCAGGAGGCATGCCAAACGCCTTATTTAATTTTCTCAGCAATCAAAACAAGGGTCCTGTAACTTCCCGTGCTGCAAGTGATGATTTAATATAATAATTGCAATAGGGAGTAACAGGTGGATACGGGGTCACTGCAGCAGCTACGTGCTGTGCTCAATTACTGCCTATCACACGCGTGTCACCTCCCAGGAACTGCGTGTGATGACTTTGCTCTAAGGGCGGGCGAACCCGCCCCGCTGCCAGAGCCGCCACACAACCGATGCTTCCCTTCTCCAGAGAGCTGCAGAGGCCATCACCTCTCGGTCCTCCCCTTCTACTTCCCCATACATACGCCTCAAGTGCTGGGACAATCTTTCCTGGTATATAACTTCCATTTGCTAAGGAAACAGATTTACATTTTTAATAAATGTCAGACTAAATATAATAAAATATTAAAGACAAACGCTTGTAAACTTCAACATTTCCCAGTTCCTTCCTCTGAAAGAGAGGAGGTTTCAGGGAAGACAACGCGAACATCCATCAGCCTCCAATGGCATGTTCCTCTGGCAGCTCTTCTATGTTCTTATAGTGCCAAGTGAGACACTTATTATCCCCAAGTCTCTAGAAAAAGTTCAACCGGCAACATCTGAGTTGATCTAACTCCAGTTACCGCTGAGCCGAAGCCTCTGAGCCCATCCTTCCACGCCACTGTACCTCTCCTATTTTGTAAGGCCATGTCTCAACCTACAGCACATTTCTAGTCTGGATTTGTCAAGCTGCTGCTCCCAAGCGCATCTCCTGTCCATCACCGTGAGCTCCGCGCAGTTTCTAACTCCACACTCAAACTCACTCACAGGCCTCGGGGGCAGTTTTTCCCCCCCTGCATCTCTCCTCGGCTGCCGGGGCCGCACGGCATCGGCCCCTGTGAACACAGCTCCTGCCTCCGGCCCCACGGCCGGGCCCACAGCTGAGCCCAGGCAAGAGCAGAAGCTGCTCCCGGTGCGGTAGGTTGCCATGTGGTTTGCTGTTTTTTAAGTATTTTGATGCAAAAATGACTTGGTGCCGCCCAAGGGAGGCGTTAAGCAAAAAAAAAAAAAAAAAACCAAACAAACCAACAAACCAAACAGAACCAACCCAAAAAAAAACAACCAACAAAAAAAAAAAATCCAAACCCAAGCAAAATCCCCCCGAACCAGACTTGCAAGCACAGTGCAAAGCAGTTCACCAGGAGGGCACCGAAGATGAGGGCTTCCCAAAATGGGCCTGAGAAGCCTTTTCCTGCAGC